ACTACTACTACTACTACTACTACTACTACTACTACTACTACTACTACTACTGCTACTGCTACTGCTACTGCTACTGTTACTGCTGTTACTGTTATTGATTGAGAGAAGAAATTTGGTAATGTTCGCCTGCTTATCAAGAGTAATCAAACCTTTGGGTTCCCTTTTACTCTCCCTCCCTCCCAATTTACAAAATCCAGTTCAGTCAAATACATCAGTCCATCACAATTACAAAATCCCCTCAAATTCAGCAGCGTGCATGCATATAATACTTTAAAAATCACATTAAGCACATTGACAAAAATGCTGCCTTCTCAGAGCAAAAGGGCCTTCAAATTGTGAGGCATCTCAGCAACCTGTCTAGAAAGGAATTGTAAGAAAACTTGTGGACCTACCAGCAGCTCCCAAGAAGGCCACGAGTAAAATAAACTTCATGATTTCTTTGTTCTGGCCAGACAACTAGGAGAACTTGTTGGAGATATGGCTGCTTTTATGTCCATCCCAAGGACTTCAACGAAGGGAAAAATATACAATGGAAAATATTGCAGTCATTTCTTGGATCTGGATCCAACAACAGGTGCAGAGGAGAGGTATATGATCACACATTAATCATAAAACACACAGAACACAAGAAGCAACCAGCATTAATCTTTTCTTGTGATTCCGGCTGTTTTTAGTTCCTTTTCTTCCCTACATTTCCTCCTGATAGCAGTACAGGTTTTAGAAAAATTGCTCTTATTTTATTTGGGTCTCCTTTTTCCCTCAGAAATGTGTCTGAAATGGTATTCTAAGTAGAAGGCATGCATGCCCCAAACATGTTACAAAATGTCTGCTTCAGGGGTCCAGATAAAATTACCTTAAATTCCTCCTTAGAGCCCCTCTTTTGCTACTAACCACTGTCAGAGCAAGGGGCTTGCTGCGAGGTGTCTCTTGTACATCCATCTTGCTCTGCCTTCCTGCTGATGCTGCCTTGTGATGCAGCACACAAGGCAGCATCAGCAGGAAGGTTGATGCACCAGCCCACCCTGAATAAGGGAGAAAAAAAGGAGATGCGGAATGGAAAAGTGTCAGAGGCTGGAAGGCTGTAGGCTGGAAGAAAATCTGATAAATATCAGATAAGGCACATTTGTTCAATGCTATGCACACTTATCATGTATTGTCACTGTTCACTAATGTGTCTGGACACTTGGAAGGGGTAAGTATGGGAAGACGGGTGAGTATGTGCCCTAATGGAAACCTATTTTCTTCCGCTTCCGAATTTCAGGGGAGAAAAATAGATACCATTGTTAGGGTTAAACGTGGCCCATAAAGTATGACAGTGGTAAGCCTCTCATCTGATGAGAACAATAAAGAGATCAGAGTAGCAAACAGATGCTTGAGAACTAAGAAAGCAGTTAGATGTGCTATTTGGTTCATTTCTGGTGCCATTTGGTTTACCCTATTTTCTACTGACCACATGTTTCTTTTGCAAATTGTTCCACTACTTTCTGGAAGAGCGCTAGGGCTGTAGCTTATTTGGTGCAATTGGGAGTGTTCCTAATTATCCTGCTCTGCAGTCTGTGTGGTTGCTTAATTCATTCCCAAATAGAGTTGTGTGTGGCATTCTCTTTGGTGACAACCCTGTGATATATGCAGTGGATTGTGACCGTAGAAAGGATAGCAAAGAAATCTTCTCCTCTATTTTAAAAAAATATTTTTATAAGTGACACAGCGCTTTTTAGATCTAAGACTGATCACGCTAGGTCGTTCTGTTGCTAACACCCTATGCCACTTAACAAATTAAACAAAAAAGAGGGGGAGTTCCTGCAGGAGACATGGTGTCAGTAATTAAAGGGGAAGAAATTGGATCAATCTGAAATCTGTCTGGATCCTCCCATGGAAGAAGAAAGTCTCTTGTGTGAATGGAAGGCTTGCTCAAATGCGAGATAAAAGAGATCTCACAAAACATCAGAGCCTTTTAAAAATGACCCAGATTGCTCCAAATTCCTCCATCTAGTTGTGCCCAAAGTCAACTGCAGATACAAAAAGATTCTTGAACTTGTCAAGAAACTAAAGCAAGAAAACACAGGTATGGTAAGGAGAAAATATGTCAGCAAGAAACTGAAGAAGCAAGGAAGCTGAATGCAAAGCCGTCTAGAAACATTTCATTGGTGGTAATAACATACACTAAACTACTGTTTAAATTTATTGGACGAAAGCTCACAAGCAAATCTTCATTTGTATGGTGAATGCTATCAATAGACAGTGGAAGACTGATAAATCTGGGTAAAATTGAAGCGCTTCAAATTGCTCATTTTTTCATCAGGAACTATTTTGGTTTTTGGTTTTACTCAAAAAAATCAGTATTTATTATTGAGAGAATATTTTTCCCCTCAGCAGCATATTTTATGGTAGTGAAAATTCCATTATGGTTGGTTCTCTCTATGGCCAATTGGAGTGCCCTCTGGCTGATATTTAGACAAAGCCCCAAATAACCTACTAAAGCTACAATTCAAGTTCCCTGTAGTGAAATTTGAAATGCTAAGATTCTGAAGAATCCCTCACAGAAAGTTTTTGGAAACATCACAAAAAAAAACTTAAAACATAAAAGTAAACTGAGAGGCTATCAGGAAGAAACTTGTCATGGAATTTGTCTTGCGGGGAGAGGTATAGCACAAAGCAAGATGGGAGGAACATTGCTTGGGTGTGCTTCAGGACTCAGCCCTTTTGATGGAGTGACAGATCTCAGCCGTGGCCAGGTCTGCAATTTTTCAACTCATGGTTCAGTCACAAGAGGCAAACATCTCCCTAGTTTAACAATACATTCATACTGTTGTGGTACATAAACCAGGGGGGACATTCCACTTCATTTTAACATTTCATTTCTTGCTATTTGATGCATAATTCCTACACTGTGAAATCGATTTATTATCTCTCACTTGACACACACCACAGAGAGAGAGAGACACCCCACACCCACTTGATGCTCACAGGGAAATTTCTTAACTCGCCACCCTTCCTGCATCCACAAAGCCAAGGAAGATGAAATTGCAGGGGAGATAGATGAGAAGGCCGAAGGAGAAGATAGGAAGGGTTGGACAGAGAATACCAAGATGGGAAGAGGAGGGCTTTTTTGCTCTGTGGCTTGGTGTCAGAAATAGTGGTGATGGGCAGCATCCTGAGGCTGCTGGCACAAGGCCGGCTATTCTCCCCACCCAGCTTGCCTGGTCTCCTTCCTCCTTGTGCCTCTATGTGGGGCTGCCTTTGAACGCGATACGGAAGCTGCAACTGGTGCAAAATGCAGGTCCTGAGGCAAGGCCGGCTGTTCTCCCCACCTAGCTTTCCTGGTCTCCTTCCTCCTTGTGCCATTGGCACCTTGGACTCAGCCTCGCATGGCCCAAGCCTTACTAGTTGCACTGGCGGCTTGAGATCTGAGACTACCAGTGGGTCCCTACATCAATCCGCCATCGGCACCACTGCTGCTGGCAGGACAGCCCGCCCATCCTGTCCCAGGGCTCACAGCCTCTCCAGCTTGCCAGTGCCTACCCTGCTGGGCTCAGTAACCAGCTGGCTCTCCTCAAATCCCTTTAGCAATGGCTGGCTCACTAGTGGGGAACTTGCAAGAGCTGACAGCCAGGTACTGAGCTCGTCCACCTTCGAGACGACTTCTGGAGAACCAATAAAGAAGGTTCAGAGAAAAAGGTGATTATTTGTGACACACCCACGTGTTAGACATACCCCCTCCTTTCCTCCAATCTGATCAGTAAAGCAAACCAATAGGAACATTCACACAAGCACTACTGGTAAGGAATGTTGAATATTGCATCGGTACAAAATAAAACAACCCTCCTGTTCTGAAGTTACACCGCTGGTCAGAAAATAACTCATTAATGGCTGTGCATCGTGCGACTGGAATTTATGCAGTGATGTAACTGGAAGAATAACTGGGGTACATTTGGCTCATGTGACCGTGACCTCAGGCAGATTGCATACCTACGGCCCTACTTAGAGAGGAAGTCTAAGTAGTTGATGCGTTGGTAATCTCTCAACTATTATAATAATCTCTATGTGGGGCTGCCTTTGAAGGCGGTACGGAAGCTGCAACTGGTGCAAAATGCAGGGGCCAGGCTGGTCTCAAGGACCTCCAGATATGATTATATATCCCTGGTCCTGCCTCATCTGCACTGATTGCCTGTACGCTTCCATGCCAGATTCAAAGGACTTATGCTGACCTGAATGGTTTGGGATCTCGGTACACATTGGAGTGCTTCTCCCTCAGATCTACCACCCCTACCGCTTGCACTTCCCAGTGCTACATGTGGCCACCCCAAGAGAGGCAAAAAGTTTTCAACCAGGAGGAGGGCCTTCTCAGTGGTGGCTGCCTCTCTGGAATGCCCTGCCTGTGAAGGTGCATCGAGCCCTTACCCTCCTAACATTCAGAGAAGATTTTGCGATTTACTTATTTTTACATTTGTGTTTGTCCATGACCACCATCTTGTGCTTTCTAAGTATCTTTGCTGGTTGTTTTGTTTTGTTTATGTTTTTCCTTTCATTGGAAACTGTCCAGAGTAATGGCATGCTACTAAATGGTGCAGTATAGAAATTTGAATGAATGAACAAACAAACAGCTTCGATAAAGCTGTGGGAGGAGAAAATCCAATGTGATCAGTAAAAAAAAATGGAGTGTGGGGAATGGCAGTATACATACTCGTTTGGAAAATCTTCAGGAAAGTTTTAGCAGAGCTACCTGTAAGTAACCTGTAATTGTATTCTCAAAGGCTTTCACAGCCAGGATCCGATGGTTGTTGTAGGTTTTTCAGGCTGTTTGGCCGTCTTCTGGAGCTTTTACTTCCTAACGTTTTGCCAGTCTCTGTGGCCGGCATCTTCAGAGGACAAGAGTTAGAACTCTGTAATTCTTGTAATTACAGAGTAATTTTTTTCCTTCTCCAGTAACCATATTTGTACAGCTACAGTACATTACATTTTGGTTGACACCTAATGACTGATAACATCAATCCTTTTGTGGTGTAACTGCAAGTTTCTAGGAACTTCTGTGGTTTTGGAGAAGGTGGTCGCTCTCAAAAGCAAAGCTGGATTGTAGCCCAGTTCAAGAGGAGACTTCTGCTTTGCCTCCTGCTTTGTGGTGAATGTTGTAGCTAGCAACAATACAGCAGAGAGGGCGAGAGAGTGTTTTGTATCACAAGTCAGCACAGTCTTCAGGCCCTTTATTTCATATCACTTTCACTAAAAAAAAAAATCTTAGTTTAAAATCAATTTATTTCTGAAAGTATCCCAAAGTAATTATTGGAGCTGCTTTTTGAGAAATGGGAAAGCAAATGGCACCTGACAGCATAATAGAAACACATTTAAATGCCATTTCCCCATTGATCCAAGCATGTTTGGACACGTTTTTCAAACATATTGTACTTTTCTTTTGGTTCTGTGCATTTTTCAAATGCGTCTCGGGTTTCTTGTGAATTTTTTATACTTTCCCAAAACACATGGCAAGACTCAGAAATATACAATTGCCTTCTGAGGCAAGATAGGCTTTTTCTTGCTGTTCTAGAGAGTTTCATTTTGG